TGTTCCTTATGTTACCAATCTTCTTATTTAAAGATTACAATAAGCATTTCAAGAATTTATCTTTCATTTTTATAAAATTGATTTTCTCTAAAATTCAACTTCTTAATGATGGAATACATGAATTATGAAAATAAAATGGATTTAAGAAAATTCATCTTAAATAACCATTTATAATTGTTACCACATCTGTTAAATATATGTAACAATAAATAACATGATCATAAAATCATGCATAAAAATTAAAATGGATAAAATTTTTCTAATTTTGGTGAGATCCGTTATAATCATTATTTGTTAGAACCTTCATTTTCCTCTTTCTTGGCATACTTTCATATGTGAACCATTTCTTCTCTTCACAAGTTGCTTGATTAATGTTGTTCCAATTTTTGGAACACTACAGCCATTTTCTATGTGTCTTTGAACCTTTCCATCTTAGTTCTTGATGAATGTAAATAAGCCTTAAGATTGTTAGATTCAAGATTTATTTCTTTACAAATGTGTAGTTGATGATGATCTTCCATTGATGACTTTGGTTGTAGTGTTCCCTTCTGAGCCTTGTTTGAATCTATGATAGAACCTCCAATGAACAAAGAAACAGCTTCGAGGCCTGCTGCAAATGCCACTTTTCTTAAGGTCTATTTCATTCCTACTAGTTATGGTAGCCTTGTTTGATGTCACCTTGCACTTATTATATCAAACCACAAAACATCCCTTGATAAGATAAGAAATGTAATAGACGTTAAAACTTTATTTTCAAAATTATGAGATTTTAACAAAAATTAAGTTTTTATGATAAAAATATGATGGATGTTGAAATTATATTTTCAAAATTCTTGAATTTTAACAAAAATAACATCTTTAAAATAAAAAACATAGTGAATGTTGCTACTCATAACAAAATTAAAATATAACGTAAAATATATTTACTTAATATTATTACATATAAAATCTAATATTAATCTACATATTTTCTCTACATAAAAGCAATTAAGGTAAGGATAGTAATTTGGATTGTAAAATTATGTTGATATAAATATGAAAAAAAATTTCAAACTTCTTTAATTTCAACAAAATTAACATGTTATTTATGTGTAACTTATTACGAATGTTACATGTTATTTAAGTGTCATCAAAGATAATTTGATAAAAGATTTTATTAAGCAATCTTACATTCCTCTAAATCAAATATAAAAATCTTATATTTTTTAAGTTAACAAAATTTAAAAATCATATATTCTCTTTCAATATCATTTCCTTTGAAATCGCTTTCCTTATTGGATCTAAAAATCTACAAACCTAATGTCCCTTTGATGTATGTATTTCTCAATACAAAATTAGATTCAAATCTATTCTTTTTCACATTAATATATATATGTATACCAAAAAAAAGTACCACTCTACAATATAATATTAATTTTATTATATATAAAAGCAACGCACGCATATTGAGATTTCTTTAGTACATTTGGTGGCCTTGAATTTTTGATTAGTTGCTCCATAGGAAGGAGTTTTCAATGACCCATCAAAGTTTAAAAATAGATTTTGACAATGTAAAGTTTTATTGTGTTCTAAAAGCATATATAAATTTTGATATTTTACCTTTCACGTCTTAATTTAACGATAAAAGAATCATAAATAAGGCACGAAGAAGAAATAATCATGTCAGTAGGACCACCAAATCCGAAGGCCCAACTTGTATTGAGTTTTTTTTTAATAAGAAAAAAATTTAAGATAAATAAATTATTTAATCTCTTATATTAAAATAAAATATGTTATATTTAATAATTTAAGATAAATAATTATAAATTATATATTTAAAATAATTTTAATAAATAACTATCGATAAATTTAAATTAAAATCTTTTTATAAAAAAAATAAATTTTAATCAATTAAATCAACCATTAAATAACTTGAATTGTCAATTAAAAAAAGATCAAATGAAAGCTAGTGTGTACCTTTACGTGTGCTTGCCCTGTTTATGTTCTTTAAAATAATAATAGGCTTAGTAGCAAAATTACCATTATTGTGGTTACAATTTTTTTTAGTGCTAGAACAATTTACAATATGATAAAGAAATAATTAAAGCTTTTGTTTGATATGATGAATTAAAAATGAAAAGATACAAAATTGAAAAGAAAAAAAATAAAAAGATGAAAAATATTTATATCATTGATGTATTTGTAGAAAAAATTAAAAATTGAAAAAATATAATTTTTTTATCAAATTAAAAAATAAAAAATAAATTAAATCATATGGTATTGAATTTTTAATCCTAATAATTAAAGTTTAAATTCTAATAATATCAAAAATAAAAAAAAAATTTAAAAATAAAAATTATATTATTTTATCTAATATCTTTTGTAACTTTAAGATGAAAAGGCAAAATTTAAACATAATGAATAATTTTGAAAATATATTAAAACTTAACACTCTAAAGTAGAGATAAAGTTTTGGAAAATCAAAGTTGTGTTAATAATTTATATATATATATATATATATGATTTTGTAAGATTACATTGTTGGTCAATGTATTTAAATTCAAATTGGATTGTTAACAACTACTTGTTTAATATACCAGCCATAAATAATAGCAATGCATAAAATAGTTTTGATAGTGGTAGGTTTAATAAAGACGAGCCACTTCCGGCAGTACTTTTGGAAATCCCCAAGGAATTACCGTTCACCGAAGAAGAAACGTAGGCTACAATAGAAGAGTGCGATGAAGACAAAGCTCGAGGCTTTGATGGATTCAATTTTAATTTTAAGATAAAATATATTATAGATCATTTAATTTTAGTTGTATTTTTAAAATAATCTTTAAATTATTAAAAATTTTAATTAGTTATTAAAGTTAATTAAATATTTTTTTTCATTGAATTGTTAGCTTCTAATGACAGAATAATGAGAAATTTTTTTTGTCAAGTATCATGTGGCATTATCATGCTATTTAACGTGTTATGTGGCATTATTGACATGATATCGAAAATTTTGAAAAAAAAATTTGAAAATAAAAGGTAAAGGCGAATTTTAATTTTGTCACTTAGTATTTTAAAACTTTCTATTCTGATAACTCAACTTTAAAAATTATAATTTGATTATTAATAAATAAGTTCTCAAAATTTATAAAAAATAGATATAAACATTTTATATTTTGTTTCATAAAATTTAATTATAATTTTTATTTTATTTTTAGTTTACCATTTAAATTTGAAAATTAGGTGAATATTAGCCAATTGCTAAATTACTAAAATGTCATTACTTCAAATATTTGTTATTCAGCTCACCTAAATAAATTTTAATATAATTTCATAATTTTAAATTCATGCAATAAGATATTAAAGGAAATATAATAACAATTTTTTTTTTGTAATTGAATCTTAACATTATGAAATAAAATTTATTAATATTTTAATAATTAGTATTTGTGAAATTTATTAATATTTTTATCTTTATTGTTAGCGACTCATTGTCGCTATAAATTTATAATGATTTGATCACCAATATTTATAAAATTTACTATAATAAATTGTTTTATCTATATTTCTTTTAATTTTTATTACATAAAATTAAAATTATGAATTGTCTTTGTAATTAGAGTCTTGATATTATGAAATATAAAATATTTACTTAAATTTATTTGAAAAAGTTGAATTACAAAATTTGAATTAACAGTATTTTAATAATTTTTGTAAGTAAATAATATTCATTCATTTTTTAATTTTCAATTGTATAATTATAATAAAATAAAAAATTTATAATTTAATTTTATATAATAAAGCTATCAAATGCTTATTTCTATTTTTTATAAAATCTGAACACTTATTGATTAGTGATCAATTGTAGAATTTCAAAATTAAGTAGCTAGAATATAAATTTTTAAAAAGTTAAGGGACTAGAACAAAAATTCTTTTTTTTTCATTTAAAATTTTTTTTTAATTTATAATGTCACGTTAACAATACCATGTGACATGTCAAATGATGTAATAATATCACATGATGACAACTGATATAATATTATCATATCAATACATCATTAAAAGTTGACATCCGAGTGATAAAAAAATATATTTAAATTTTAATGATTAAATTAAAAATTTTAATAGTTTAATAATTATTTTAAAAATATAACAATAATTGAAGGACTGATGATATATTTTACCCTTAATTTTATTAAGAGAAAGTGGAGTTGCTTAAAACTAAAATCATGAAATTTCTACAGGATTTTCCCGACAACTAAGATTCCTAGCGGATTTCCAATCTATATATCTCCCTTGTTCACAGTATATGTAAGATAAGAGAAATTGTTGGATATAATAACAATGAAATTTTTTAATTTTACAAATGTGATTAAGATAGGAACACATTTTTTGTAAATTAATTTTTTATTATTTTAAATATATATTATAAAACATGTATTACTATTTTAATATATTTTATAAAATTAAAAACTTTATTCAATATATTTAATAATTTTTATATTATCTTCTTATAATTATTATGATATCCGAGTTATTTCGATGAATTTAGGTCACGTGAATGGTTTATGGTTACCCTAAACATTTCGTTAACCCGACACTAAACACTTCTTATAATGACTACTAACTGACCGCACAAACAGTGAGTATACCAACCATTTCGATAGCATTATAACATTAATTATCAACTAATTGCATGATTTAATACAAAAATATTATTTTAAATATAATATTTTAACAGACCCTAACGAAGTTCTTTTAGAAATTATCAGTTTTTTATTGAATTTAATCTCAATAAAAAACATCACTTTTGATTTCTCTTATTTTGTCCATCTGCTAAAGCCATTTGGATTAATCCCATTTTCACAAATAAAACAGTTTAATACATGAATTTTCTACACTAACCTCTCCTTTAGAAAATAAAATAAAAAAATAAAAATTACTAGGCCCAAACCATTTGATGGAGAGAGAATTTTGGACAAAGGCCCAGATCTTGGCTAAGATATTTTTCCTGGGCAATGCATGCTAGACCAGACGCAACAGCATGAACAGGCAAATCGTTAAAATTTCACCACAAAATTCCTATCACCAGACAAAACCTTGACAACAACGAAAACCCCCATTAAATCAAGGGATGTCTTCCTCACTTCTCTCCACTTTCTAAGCAGAAACCAAAGAATTTAAACCAAGAACCTTAACAGAGATGGCATATGCATCACAAGCAATGATATCAGCTAACAGTTATGTATTCACTTCTCCAAAGTTGTTGAAGAAAGGTTACAAACTTAACATGACAAGGCAATCCAGCTTCTTCACTGTTAGAGCTTCCTCTGATGAATCTGAAGACTGTAATGAAGAAGAATGTGCCCCTGATAAGGAGGTTGGCCCTTGCCTTAGCTTCTTGCCTTTATCATCCTTCATTTTCTTCCTTCTATTGTATGCATGCATGCCTTTTCTTTTTGGTGTTTGTTTAGATATGAATTAAAAACTTCTCAAGCCAGTTTCTTTGCTTCTCACTTGTTTATTTTAATTCAATCTCTTAATGGTTAATGGTTAACTTTATTTATTTATATTAAAATTGATGTATAATATAAGAATTAGACTTAAAAGACATTTATTTTATAGGCATTTCTGCTTTGTATCCATACTTATATTTATATATGTAGTTGTCCTATGGAAGAGAAGGGTACATCGTCTGATAATTGTAGTAGAAAGTAGAGAAGAAATTAAAAGTAATTCTTATATTAACAAGTTTTAAAGTATGGTAGTTGCTTTTGTTTGGAGTTTTGGGTCTCAAAGGGGTTAGTAAGAGACAGTGTCAACAGAAAATGTGGCCCTCTCTTTGTGCTTGGATTCAAATCCACTGCGAGACTTGGAAAGGTAATTTTCTATAAATTCGTTAAATTTGACGTAGATAAACTGTTTGGACTGGCACAAAGAAGAGATGTACCGGGCAGAGTCCAGAAATTCCCTTGCTGCTTAACAAAAAAGAGAGAGGTTTGGAGAAATTTCCAATTTTGTTGAAGTTGACAAGCACAGCTGAGACTAATGGGAGAAAGAATATTTGTGTTACTTCTGGATATTGTAATAGGTTATATGATTTAAGATATGGTCTCAGCGGTGAAAGAGTTTGTACTCCTGGGAAATGGTTGTGAACTGCACTCAATTTCAATGATATTGTAACATCAATTCTCTGAAAACTTGTGATTGTTTCCAAAAGTTTTGCTATAACTTGTTTACTTTTCTTCCTTGCATAAATAACTATGCAAGCATGTTTTGATATAATTTACATGGCAATTGATATTTATCTTAGTTGTAGTACAACAGATACTTAATATTAAGATTTACAGGTTGGGAAGGTGAGTATGGATTGGTTAGCAGGGGATAAGACCAAAGTGGTTGGGACATTTCCACCTCGCAAACGGGGCTGGACCGGCTATGTTGAGAAGGACACTGCAGGGCAGACCAACATTTATTCAGTTGAGGTTGGTAGTTTTAGATCTTCCAATTACCCTCATCCATTAATTCTTGAATTTCTACCTGTATAACTAATCTTATAGGGAAAGTATGTATTTGGATTGTTTGTTGCTTACAAGAAGTTTGGATAACACTAAAAGTTAAAAGGAGAATATTAATTAAGGAAAAAACTATATATAGGTTCATGCAGAGGATTTTGGAAATTTTCAAATTATGATTTAAATTTGACATGGTGAAAAAACTTGACCCAAATAGCATATGTTAGACCCGGCAATTCATGCATTTGTGTTATATAAAACATTAGCTATTTGTGTATTCAGGTATAATTCTTTTCGACACGAAAAACACAAAAATACATTTTTTTATTTTTGTTGTACCCATAAATGATTTTTGTTAAAAATTTAAACCGTCACTATCATGTTTTTTTTTTTTTTTCGTATAGTTTTCCTGTCCTATCATGGTATCATGTTTTAGATTACCATGTATAATAGATATGTCTTGTTTCCTAGTACGAGTAAGAGAACCATGATATATAAGTTGATTTAACTCTTACTTCTATAAATTGGGAAATGATCTGTAGGAAACGCAGAACTGATAAAATGATTCCTAGTTTCATATATGGTATCGTTCTACTTGATCTTTCTTTTCTTTTTACCTTCATCCTATATCCATTTTGTTTTCTTCCCTCTACTTCATATCTCTTGGACAACTACTATACGGACTCTTAAGAATTTTAATGTATGCTTTCCAGCCTGCAGTTTACGTCGCAGAAAGTGCAATAAGCTCAGGAAGTGCAGGTTCTTCGGCTGATGGAGCTGAGAATACAGTAGCAATCGCCACAGGACTTGCCCTTATCTTTGTTGCTGGAGCTTCGTCTATAATCCTCCAAGTTGGCAAGAATTCACCACCAGTGAAGACAGCTGACTATACCGGGCCAACACTTAGTTACTACATAAACAAGTTTAAACCACCAGAAATTATCGAAGCTGCAGCACCGATTGAGTTAACAGAAAGCTCTGCTCCCGAAGTTTCACAGATTCAGGTTCAATCTGAACTTCCACCAGAGTCTTCAAGTCTGACCACTACTTCATAGACAAATTTTGGACCAATCTCTTGTTATGCTTAAATTTATTTGTCTTCATATATAGCTCCTGTATACTACTACTGTGATCATTGAAATATAGTTACAATATGGGAATATGATATTATTTTTTATACATTAGCCATCCGTGATGGTTCTTCATTTCATTTTAGCACTTCAAGAGTAAAAGCATTGCATTAAACCGTCCCAATTGTTGAGAATAATGACTCAAATCCCATAAGAGATTTGTTTGGGATTTATTAGAGATTTGTTTGAGATTTGTCAGATATTGCTTGATGGACAAGAAGACTTGCAAAAAAAGAATTTCAAGAGAAAGAGGATTCTTAATTGGTAAGTTTGACTTGCAAGAGAAGAATTCTAAAAGGAAAGGGATTCTTAATAGGCAAGTTTGACTTACAGGAGAAGAATTCTAAGAGGAGAGGGATTCTTAATGGGTAAGTTTGTATGGTTATAAATAGGTGAAGTCTCTACAGGGTTAGGTATGAGAAAAAGATGTAAGAGAGTTGTAGGGTTTTGTAGGATAGACACCCCATAGGAGTATTGGGGCTCTACGTCTTATGGGTGTGTATGTTTGTTTGTGAGTGGACTAGAGGAGATTGAGAGGGTCCACATAGATATGATGTATGGGAACATATGGGTATATGTTTGGTTGTGTTGAAAATGTGCACAAGAGTTTGGATTTGTATTTGTTTGGGTAGAGAATACTTCATAGGACTAGAGGAGATTGAAAGTGTCTTATGAGTATTGATTGTTGAGTGGGGATGATGATATGATGTATGTTTGTAATTCTCTACAACTAGTGGATCTTGTTTCTCATCCGTGGATGTAGGTCAGTTGGATCGAACCACGTTAAATTGTTGTCTCTTGTGTGTTTGATTTATTGTTTGATTTCGTTTCCGCTGGTGTGATTGGATTGGAGGCTTTTAGTCCAACAAATGGTATCAGAGCTGTGGTGATCCCCAACAAATGGTATCAGAGCTGAAGGTTCGAAACGTGAAAAGAGTTGAAGATTCAAGATGTGAAAAGAGCCGAAGGTTCGAGATGTGAAAGAGCTGAAAGTTCGAGATGTGGGAAAAGCTAAAGGTTTGGGAAGTGCATGATTTGAGACATGAAAAGAAGCAAGTTCAGAAGAGCTCGATTCGAGAGAAGAGTTCGAGTTCGAGTTTTGAAGATTGAGGATTGGTTTGTATGAAGCGTGAAGACACAAGAGAAGAGAATATGATTGTGAGACTTCCATTGTAGGTGGAGCCAAGCATGTCTAGCATGAAGACAAATGATTGATGGAATTTGAGTCAAGGTGAAGATTGTTGGGAATAATGACTCAAATCTCATAAGAGATTTGTTTGGGATTTGTTAGAGATTTGTTTGAGATTTGTCAGATATTGCTTGATGGACAAGAAGACTTGCAAAAAAAGAATTTCAAGAGAAAAGGATTCTTAATTGGTAAGTTTGACTTGCAAGAGAAGAATTCTAAAAGGAAAGGGATTCTTAATAGGCAAGTTTGACTTACAGGAGAAGAATTCTAAGAGGAGAGAGATTCTTAATGGGCAAGTTTGTATGGTTATAAATATGTGAAGTCTCTACAGGGTTAGGTATGAGAAAAAGATGTAAGAGAGTTGTAGGGTTTTGTGGGATAGAGACCCCATAGGAGTATTGGGACTCTACGTCTTATGGGTGTGTATGTTTGTTTGTGAGTGGACTAGAGGAGATTGAGAGGGTCCACATAGGTATGATGTATGGGAACATATGGGTATGTGTTTGGTTGTGTTGAAAAGGTGCACAAGAGTTTGGGTTTGTATTTGTTTGGATAGAGAATACTTCATAGGACTAGAGGAGATTGAGAGTGTCTTATGAGTATTGATTATTGAGTGGGGTTGATGATATGATGTATGTTTGTAATTCTCTACAACTAGTGGATCTTGTTTCTCATCCGTGGATGTAAGTCAGTTGGATCGAACCACGTTAAATTGTTGTCTCTTGTGTGTTTGATTTATTGTTTGATTTCGCTTCCGCTGGAGTGATTGGATTGGAAACTTTTAGCCCAACACCAATGACCAAAACTTCAAGATTATTTCAAAGTCCATCTTAATTCTTAAGCCAGCAGTGGATGGAATAAATGCAACTTCAAGATTATTATGTATTTGTGTTTGTCTATTTTGTCTAACACATGTAAAACATTAAAATTATTGTTTCATAATTTGTGTCAAACACATCAAATGCAAAACATTTTTTTTTTGTTTTTGTCCAACCTTTATATGGTATATACTAAAATTTATAACTGTACTATTTTAATATATATTTTTTTCATATTATTTTCATATTGCTGTTTTGTATTTAAAATTGACACATCTACTCTAATGTAAATTAAAAGACACTGAAATTGAACCCTCACTAATCTGGTTGAGCAACTATTTTATGAAAAAGCCTTTGATATTACAATTTTCATTCTGACAGTGATGGTCGCATCTCAACTTCTGCTCAAACAACTTATGAGTGATAGGAGAGAGCATTTCCATTACCGTTTTTTTATTATAATGCTATAATTGTCCAATCAAAAATCAAGTGAAAGTCATCAGTTAAAAGAGGGGACTTCAAATAATATTTTGGGAAACTCTATATAACTTTAAAATCTGATTAGTTAATTGTAATACAGTTATTGTAGAAGATATGCTCCCGCGATAAGAACACTTCAATAGCTAAATGTATCATGCGATCAAGTAGACAAAATTCAGTTAAAAAAGGATTGATTCAAATCAACTTACAACAAATATCCGAACAACCCTAAGTAGCTAGTTGCAACTAATGCCTCTCCAACCAAACGAAAAGGACACTAATATGATAGGATCTTTCAGATGTATTATTAGATATTGCTCAAAACAAAATGATTGATTCAAGGATTACATATCACTTCTTTTATTTTACCATCATTTCATCCCTCCACTGCAATTCACCCAGTTGCAGATTTGTTTTTGGCCTTCGGTGTGCACAATTTGATGAAACAAAGGGTTACCTGAAACTAGCTTTTCTTTTTCCTTGGCCAAGCTCAAATATTGCTTGAAATGACCAACTGGTTCCTTCTGAGTCCATTTGGCTTTTCCTTATTAACCTACAAAAATAATATTCATGTTATTTCATGCCACACAACGTCATAACCGAACACAGCATGACTAGCACCATCACACATATCCTTAATCACGTGTCATTATGATGCCTACATAAAATAGAAATTAGCTATAAAAAGAAACATGTTTAAGGAATCAGACATGTTAAAGCGTTTTACTTGACTTTTATGTTTCATTTATCAATCACATGTTAAATTCATCAAGTATTGGCTCAATCAAAACGTCAAGTTTCAAGATAAGATCTATGGGAATTATTACAAGTCTGTATCAACGCTTCTAGTAGGATCAAACAAATCTAAGTTATCTACCGTCTATTATCTAGATTTAATCTATTAACCGATCACCGGATTCTCCTTCAAAATGTGTATACAAAAATAGTTGAGTTCACATAACAAAAAGTCCTTTTGCCTTCATAAGACTTTGATTCTAGAGTCTCTCCATTCAAATCAAACCCAAGATAAAGGGAGATAATCAATTTCAATAATGTCATCCCTATACAAGGAATCCCTTCAAAGGTAAAGTATACAACAAAAAAATAATATCATCTGCTTTTGTTTTTAATCACAATACATAATAAACAAATCTCTTGTAGCCACAAATCAGACATGGATGGGAGATGGCAATATCATCAAATTATTTTTAGTGAATATCACCCCCAAAAATTCCCAAAATAGAAAAATAATAATACAAGCATTCATGAAACATATATCATGAAACGAATAACAAACATGAATATCTGCTACAAACAGTTCATATGTACACAGTGTACTAAGGAGAAAGGATAAAGAACTATACACCATTACTTACACTAACAAGTAGGGCCTCAAGAAGAGCCCAACAGCTCAGGCTTCCGCATCCAATACTGTTGAAACCTCTGCCTGGCATATTCCTTGTAGTCAAAGTCAATTTCATTCACATGTTCCTGAGGAGGATAAAAGATACAAAATCATATAAGTAATAAGCCCACAAAGAAGGTAATTACAAGCCAATGTCATTACATCAAGCAGCATCTCTTCTCTCCTTCACAAATGAGCAAAATTTAAAGTATCCCTAAGTATGGCCCCTCTCGGGTCAATGACTACATTTACAAAGCAAAATGGTGTATCTTTTTTGTTTCAAGAGACAGATTATTAAATTTCAAACTCGAAGGAAGATTTAACATTTAAACCTCTAACAACTTCAAGTAAAGCCTGTTTATGACAGGTTCCATGCACTCTGCATGACCAAATTCATGATAGGATAATTGCAAAAAAAAAAAAAGAAAAGAAAGAGAAGTGGGAGTTGTAAGACTGGATGCAAAGAGAGAAAGGATGTACTAATGAAGAAATGAAATAATTATAAAAGGTTAATTGTGTAATAATTTGTATTGAATGTCCTCTTCACAAAAAAATAAGGCTTTTAATAAAATTATAATTAACCATTCACATTGCAAAGAAAAAAAAAAACGTCTCATTCAACTAATTAAATTTTGCTATGAAAAACAAGTTGAATCTAAAATTTAAACCTTTCTTTCAATGTAATCAATGAATGTAAATTATTAGTTAAAATTTTATTAAAACTTTCATTATTTCACAACTGGGTATTGCTATGAAACTTAGATAACAGCCATTTAAATACTATTGCTATGAAAATGGCCCACAACTAGGTCAAAATGGCTCAGCCCTCTATCTCATCATTGAATGATTTTGAAGATGGTAATGCTATGATAAACAAGGTAACATGAGAGAATGGAAATTACCGATATTATTCCCCACAAGCCCCAATTGAGATGGCTTGCTAGAGTATAGTTCTCAACATCTTGAAGCAGCTGCTCCACTTCAGTGTCTCTAGGTTCCTTACCTGCAATATAAGACAGCTAATGTCATGGGAAGTTGACAATACAACAAATTCAGAGTTACATTGACAGATCAAGTTCAATTACATATATTGAAACACATTAAATTGGGTTCTCCAACTGCCTTAACTTCTAAAAAATGTGTTGAATTAGTCCTTCAGCTAAGTATGGAAGGAGGGAAAAGACCTACCACTTTACAACATATAATAAGCTAAACTGATTGCAGATAGAACAATTATAGATAGTTAGACATAAATGCAGCTAGGATATCCATGCTTGTAGAAGACTAAAAATTGGAATTTTAAAAAATGGAGTGCTAATCGTCCTCCGAATACAAGGGGTACAACTCTTCAGATTTTATTGGTTTGTGTGTGTGTGTGTGTGTACATATCATATCTGACAATTAGTTATTCAAAATAGCTGCCATGAGAACAACGAAAAAGTCACCCAATGTCCTAAGAGCAATAAACAAATACCTGATGAGTTCAGGTATACATGCAGAAATCTTAGGCGCTCTTCCAAACCTATGTATACCACAGGCAAAGAAAATTTCTTATCATTCAAGGCATTAAAAGTAACTTTTTTAAAGGAAAAATGAGATCAAAAGGTTCACCTGGATATTTACTATAATCCATAATATGGGGAGTATCTGTATGATAGTCAGCAGCCATCTCACAAAAGTGGTTAGCAATATCATAGGCAACAGGATTGTAACTTGCATACTCGTAATCCTGTAAAAGCAGGCAGCCAATCAACCTTCAAAGAATTAAAATTAAATATGTAGTACTTGAAAGAAAACCGGTCTTGGAGAAAATAGAGTCATCAATTAGTGAGCTGCAAATTTAAGATCATAAGAAATTTATACTGTTCACTAATTACTTAGATATCTTTCTGCTTGATAAGTTACATGTCCCATGCATAAATAAGGCCTTAGTCAACAATTCATGATCAAGCTTGAGATTATTAATATAATTCATGATCATATACAAAGCAAATACAAATCCTAAAGTTCAATATAATTCATTTTTAAAAGGATACTATGAGATACATGACTGTATTTCTTTCCCTTTTCTTTTAAATATTTAATATTGAAGAAAGTTAGGATCTTTAAAAGTAGAAGCGGGACACAAGACAGCCCAAGGCCAGAATCAAGAAAAGAAACTTTGCCTAGATACAACTTAGAGAACTAAAAATTATCACATTAACAATGCTCATAACTTAGCAAACAAAGCATTTAAATCATATGATAAGTTAACCACAGATTAATACATGTATACAATGGTCAAACGCAAATATTCTTCCATGATAAATAATCTTTTGGGCTTCCTACAGGATTAAAGTTGTGGGTCTTAAAAGAAATGCAGTTTAGGTAGGTCATGCCCCAGTTACAAATCAATAAAAAAAGGAAATAATATAATGAAATTCCCTCTGGTGATATATCTGATACATTTATCTTCATTTAACCTCAGTCAATGAGAAATCCATGAGATCACAAAACATACATCAATGTCCAATAAGTCATTCAACAAGGCAGAATCACAACTCTCCTTGGAGAACATGCAAATATCACCAAATGCATCATATGAGAACAAAGATGCTTTAAACACATTCATACATAAAGAGTGCTACTGCTAATATGATAATAAAAGGACTAAGATAAACGCATCAATCTGCTCTATCTTAAGCCAACTTGCTCCCAAACAGGTAGGGACGGGGTTCAGGAATTATCTATTCGGAAGAATATAAATAATGCAGCCATATGAACAACTAACGATCTTATTACCACAAGCACCTCTATTAGTCTTTGGCTATCATTTGCTTTTGAGCCCCAAATCCATATTGGTCAAAAAAGCAACTAATAAGCCAGCCTAATACTCCACCTTGTCTAGAACTTTCCCACTAATTAGGAGCTATTACCATATAGTTCAGCGAGAATCAGAAAAAAAGAGTTTTGCTATTAAAATTACTGTAAGAAAATCATATATTAAGCAAGCCAGTTTGATAGAAACTCACAATAATGGTTATTGATTTAGTCTCTTCATTGATCATTATGTTACCATATTGTAAATCATTGTGGCAGAAACCTATGTGTTGATGGCCCCCTGAGAGTTTCTTTTCCAACATAGAAATTTCCTCCTCAAAAGCTTCCAAGCGAAAGGCTTTAGCTTCTTCCAGAGTGCAAACCCTCTTGGTTGCATTAAGCCAATTTCTGAAACATTGAAAAGTAATTTACTTAATCAATGGTAAAAACTTTAAAACTAATTAAGTAGGTGATGATATGACATCCACAACATTTAGCATAATTAGCAGAGAAATATTAAAATGTACCGCAATCTATTCCATAGCCAAACTTTCTTTGGACTGGGCATCTCGAGTTCATGGAACTCCCTTAATTTAGCTGCTATTAGAGCTGATATATCTGGATCACGCAAATCAGATGCTGACAGTGTCTGAGAGTCAATATGGAAGAAGAGAGAATATCAATACACATTTGACATTTCAAATTAGTAAATGACCCCTCTAGGTCATCAAGAAGAGAGAGAGAGAAAAAGTATCTTTAATTAATTGCAAATACTAATAGAAAAAAATGTGATTCCCATTGTAATCCCAAATCTTGATGTCCTTAATAAATGAGGCACCAGACCAAACATGAACAAGTTATGTCCTTAGTGGATATAAATGACAAAATGTTTTTCAGAAGGTCATCTTAACTCAATCACAGAAATTATATTTTGCAACTCATTCACATAATGGATAGACAGGAAGTAAACCACTGTGTAAATCAAATACTTCAGTGCTAAAAGTACTTAAAATAGATGCTTGAAAAGCAAAGCCCTTTATTCACATAACCATTTCGAAACAGAATGCATTATGCTTCATGTTCATATCTAAAATAAAGAAAAGAGAAAAAGGATGGGAAAGGAAGTGGTTCAAAGTACCCGTGCATGGATGAACTCTTCAATTCGCCCATTTGGGAACCGTCCTAGCAAACGAGGTCCTTGCCCATTCTTTGACATGAACTCAAATGTCTGGATCTCATCATCCCGGTCAAAGAACACCTCCACACCCTCACCATAAATCCTAACTAAAACCTTTTGTGACACATCATCTGTCCTGGTTGGCCATTTTATTTGGAAGACCTCATTGGTCATCGCACCTTTAAGAGGGATAACCTGCAAAGCTTTTGAGTCCACTATATCATCCCACTCAGATGCCAATGATTGTAGAGCATCCTTTACTTCTCGTGGCAACTTCTCCTCTTTATTGTTTACAACATTAGTTGCAGCACCCATAACAACACAGCCACCAAAACTCCACAAAATTTTATTGATTATAAATAAAATATCTGAACAAGGGAATGGCTGTCCTGGAGAGGAAAAATAATCAAACATTACAATTAATACATTCATAATTACAGATTCCATTATGATAATACAAATTCAAGAACAAGGTTTCTATTGCATGACTATAAGCACTATGAAGGAGATTTAAACACAAAATTAAAGCAGCAGAGTCAACCAACAAAAGCTCAAACTTGACAATAACTACAAGGAACTGAAAATTTCACCATTGATAAAAAAAAAAAAAGATTCTAACAAGAATAATATATATTGATATTGCTGAATATTAATAGGCAACAGAGATAAACAAACAATCCAAGAAATCCAGTACTTAGCTGACATCAATAAACAATTAAGATGGTTAGAAACTAAAAGGAAAATAAATTTTAAGTTTAAAGTGCAATTCAAACATGAATTAGACATTAAAAATCACATTTTTATAACAAAATGCATGATTCAATTTTCATAATAATGAACGATTCATTAAAATAGGCCTTGCATTTTAGTTGTTTATCCGTTATTAATCAATAATTTAGCTCTTTGTCATTTCCTTTTTGCGTTATAGCAATTATTTACGAAGGAAAATTTGTAATAGAGAAATTGAGAGATAAACAAAAAAAAAAAAAAGAATCAGATTGAAATGTAATAATGTTATGATCCTATAAATCAATTATATTTACAAATCTTGAAAATAATGCAATAAAACTTTTTGACATGTAAGAATTCAAAGGATTAATAAACAAGTAAATAAATTTTATCTAAGAAAAATAAGAAAAAAAAAAAAAAGAACACAGCGAATCGATGCTCACCCGAACAAAAAGAAGGGATTCTTCCTTATGGATGGAAAGGAGGAGATTTCTATGATGAGGAACCGCAGAAAACCGGAGGGGAAAGATGAGAATTCACCGGAAAGGAATCCTCCTGGCCGTTGGATCTCCTGCAGATGGTTTTCCGTTTTTGTAGTATTATTTTCCGACATACGAGGCGATCTTCAACTCTTCATTACTGCCTCTGTTCCCGAAATTTGTTACATTGTCTTTTTTACACGGTCAAAATTTTTGATGTTTGACTTTTTTTTTATTTATTATTAAAAATATAAAAAATATAATTGAATAACTTTGATTGAAATAATTAAAAATATATATTTGAAAATTTTTATTAAATAATATATTTAAAATAATAGAAATCGAAGTTAAAAAATTTTGATCATAAAAAAACTTTTACTGTAATAATTTAACTACAATAAAAGGAATATCTATATTATTTTATTTATTTTAAAAATGTCCCTCAATCCTACGATGATGGAAATGAGTAAATTTATAAGAAAGAGCATGTTGGCGGTTCAATTCATCTAGGATGAGTTTCGATTTCATTTGACCTTATAAAGTGGATTTTAAAAAAAAAAACAAATTAAGTTTCGAGTAAGATGAGATCAAATCAGGTAATATAAAAAAAAAATTTTAGGTTAGAGTTGGGTTGAGTTTGAATTTTAAGTAAATTTGACTCGACCCTACCTAATATTATATAAAAATTAATTTTTTAATTATTTATTTATATATATTTTATATAATTATATTTTTATATTTTAAAAAATAATATTTTATTAATTTTGAGTCGAATCAAATCGAGTACGATTTATATAATATTAGATCGGATCGAGTTCAGATATAAAAAATAAAAAAATATTTAAATTAGGTTAAATTCGATTTTTATAATTATAAAATCAGATCGAATTCGAGACAAATAAAAATTCATTTCGATCCTATTCATTGTCAACCCTAGGAAAAAGTTGTATAAGTGTCAACGTCCAAAAAAAGAAATTATACTAATTATAGATAGATAAAATGATAGGCAAATTGAATTTTATAGCCACATGTCAATTTCTTTGAATTTTTATTATTGTACTCTTAATTTTATTAAATTTATTACTAAATTTTTTATTTTGTTGATTATTGTAAAAAATGGAATGGAAATTTTTTTAAAAAATTTTGTTAATCAAAATAATAAATTTTGTAAAATTACTTTTATTTCATTAATTTTTGAAAAACAAGTAATAAAATTAGAATATTTCATAAAATATTTTGTTAATGAAAATAATATATCATTATTGAGTTAATCTAGGGAAATAATTTTCTTCACTAAAAAGTAAAAAAAAGTTTTCATTTCTTTATCTAATGGTTAATAATGTATTTTTACCTAAATTTATGGTTTATATTTATTCAAAATTTTTATTTTTTAATTAATTTTTATTTTTGTATATTAAATTTCAAATCATTAAATATTATCATAGATTTAGTTGAAAGTGCTTTATTCATTTTTAGATAAAATAATGAAAATTTCCTTTATTTTTTAAGTAAAACATCACCAATAATATCTAAACTATAATAAAATATTTAATATAATATTTAAAATTTAAAAATCTATAATATATTACTTGAATTATAAAAATATTAAATGACGTGTTATTCACTACTAACATGATTAACTCTAAATTATAGTGCATAAGTGACAAACAAACCTTTTAAATACTACATTGAGGTTCGAATGGAGACAATTTTTTTTTATGTTTTATGTTTTTGTTTTCACTTTTTTTTTTTTTAAATTGGAAACAAAAATTTTGGTTTATTTTCTTTGTTTTAAAAACAAAAAATTAAAAACAAAATTTTAAAAATTATTGGAAGTGAAAAAGTGATGTTTCTAATATTTTAGAAACATTTTCATACCTTGTGTAACAATTTTCATAATCTGTCAAACTACCAAAGCTTTGAATCAAAGATTTGAATCAAATCCCTACTATTTGATCAATACTTGTTGATTCGAATGATAAAAAATTTAATTTAATTTTAAATTTTAGTTTTGAATTTTATAAATGAAAAAAATAAGTATTAAGATAACTTGTTTATCTTATGAGATCCGATTAATTCAACTTCGAAATAATCGAAATTCAAAGTGATTACCGAACACTAAAAAATCTTTAAAATAAAAAAATCCTTGCTTCAACTATTTCTTTTGATTATCCCTTGTTTTAAGCAACAAAAGTTTAACTTCTAAACAAATATGTTTTCAACTTCAATAGAATAAAAATATAATAAAAAACAAAATTTTCAAAAATGTAAAACTTAAAACTGACAGTAATATCAAACAACCTTTTAATTAAAAGATTTACAATTTAAGTATTATTTTAAATATTTTTAAAATTCAAGTATAATATATAATTTTTATTATAATTCAAACGTTACAGCTAATATTGTCCCTTTATTATTTCATGTTTGAAAATCAACAAAAATGAAAATAGGTTACAAAATTTTAAGCGTCAAATTTACTCTTTATCCACAAACCACAAATTAAAGAAAATTATAATTAATTTTACAAAAATTATACTATTCTTAACATTTTCAAACCTTAGCTTCTTATGTTAAATTTTACTTGCTCTTAAAGTCTTATGTGTCACTTCAGAAAATTTCATCCTTGTCTCCCTATATTAAAAAATATTATTTATTTTTTCTAAAAAATTATTATTTATTTTCCAATATGACGTTATTTAAAAATCATTATCCTTAGATGTTCAGTTTTTGACAACTAAATATTAGTTTAAATGGTATAATATGGGTCAAATTCTTGAAGGTTATCTGTTCAAGAGGATATAGACGTGTAATATTCTTTTTTAGTGAATTAAATAGATATGGATTTGAGTAGGAACTTAAATGAATTAAACATTAATGAATTTTGTTATCCTCATTATTTATTCATTTAATTAATTAATTAAATTTAATAAATAAATAAATAATAAACTTATAAATTATTCATCGAACATTTTATTAATATATATTTTTAGATATAAATAAATCAAATATAAATAAATTTTGATGTATTAATAATTTATTCATTTAATTAACGAATTATAAAATATTATTCATAATTATTTATTAAATTTGATAAAAAAATATAAATAAATAAAAATTAAATATGTTCATAAATTATTTGTTAAGTATTCTATTTATTTACACTTTTAAATTTGAAAATTAAGGATAGATTAAAAACTTTTAAAAAGAAATTCGGTTTCTATATTTTTAAATATTAAATTATTTAATAGCAATTGAAACATTAACTTCAGAGTCAAAAGCTCGTATTTAATATATTTCCGTGGACCACGGCGGGTGTTAGCCCACCTGCCGTCACCATTTAACTCACACTTCAATTCAAGATCCCTTGGTTCACACTTCTTTTTCTCCTTTGGCACAGATATCTTTCTCTTTCTCTCAATCCTTCTACATATTTAGGGTAGCAAATAGTTATGTCTACGGCGGACCCACCGGCGTCAACAACCGGGGTCGGCCTTGGTTACGGCATAGCCATTGCTGTAAGCATTCTTGTACTCATCTCCACAATCATGCTCGCTTCCTATGCTTGCGTAAGAGTTAAAGCTAGTGGAAGTAATCGCAGCAGTCATAGCAGCAGCAGCAGAAATACGAACAATAATAGCAATATTAATCAAGAACTGAGCCACCGGCCTATTACCGAGAGCTTGATGGACCCAAGTACGGTGGTTTTAGGCCTCGACGAGCCCATTATCGAGTCCTACCCGAAGATTGTTCTGGGCGAAAGCCGTCGGTTGCCTAGGCCCAACAATGGCACATGCTCCATTTGCTTGTCGGACTATCAACCCAAGGATTCCGTACGGTGCATTCCAGATTGCCACCATTGTTTCCATGTTGATTGCATTGATGAATGGTTAAGGACGAGTGCCACGTGTCCTCTGTGTAGGAATTCCCCAGCTCCTTCTCCGGTTCCTACACCTTCTTCCACCCCTTTGTCAGAGTTGGTGTCTCTAGCCGTCCATGGAAGGTGATTTTGTAGTAATAGTAATAGATTTCTTCGATGAAAAAACCTATTGAATATTCATGTGTTTTTCCTTTATTTTTTATCTTAAAATTATAGAAATGACCATCTTTTCCATTAAAAGAGGTTAATGTTTCTTAAATTAAGATAATCATGCATCAGCTAAAGTGAAGGGATTAGGTATCGAATTTGGGCTAAAGGTACTCCAATTAACAAGTTGGGAGTTATTTAATTATTTTTTCTTCTAAATTTCAAATTTGTGGGTCCGATTTATTTATGTGCACATATCTTTATGAAGAGCATAGTATATAAAAAATTAGTAATTTAATTCTCTGAATTTATAAGTTAGTGGTCTGTGGTTGTCGGCACCAACAATGCTGATTATGGGCATTGCTAATAGACAGGTTGCTTTCAAAGTCTTCAATTACCTTAAAGTTCCCACTAATTTATTCTTTGAGGGATTAATAATATCTGCACAAACTTCTTTTGCACCCAAATCCCATTACAAGCATCCGGTTAATATGTTTGCTAACGGGATTAAGGTTATGCTAGCTACTATAGCATGGTTAGTATCTCAAGGAATTTATTTTTTAGCTATCCATTTATAATATATATAAAAATTATAAAAAGATTTATTAATTTTATCAACAAAAATGATATCCACAAAATAATTTTAAAGGTGTCTAGAAAAAAACTTATTAAATTTTTTTTTGGTTACGATTGGGATATAAACTTTAAAACTCTTAATTTAGGAGTGGACTCCTGTGTTACTGAACTAATAGTTCATTGGCTAATTGTTTTTGAATTTTACTATTATATTTTAATTTTGTTTCTTTTTAATAAAAAAATAAAATTTGAATATTTTAAGAAATAGCTATTAATATAAATATAAATGGTAAATTGCATCAATTTCGCTATTTTTATTAAAAATAAATAAAATTAAAAGTATAAAAAGAAATTTCAATAATGAAATTGAAGTGATATAATAAAATTGAACATTCTCGTAATATAGTAGTAAATTTTGTCTTAATCAATTTCATTGTTTTTTTAAATTAAAAATCAATAAACTTAGAAGTATAAAAATGAAAATTCAATAATGAAATTGAAGTACAATAATAAACTGAACATTCGCATAATATAATGGTAAATTTTGTCTTAAATACTTTGCAAACTAAAAAGCAATATAGTATTAAATTAAACTTCAAGTGGTTGATCTTTTTATTTGTTATTTTTGTAGACACCTTATTTTATCAAAAGATTTTTTTGAAATTGATTGGGTTTCAAATATTGGACTCTAATTCAAAAGTTTTGGACACAAGAATTAAAAGTCTGAAAATCTTAATTTTAATTTTAATTTTGATTTTGATTGTGATTTTATTTTATTGGTCAAAGTAAAAGAAAAAGAAAAAGAAAAAAACATGTGATTTGTCTTGACAAATTGCTTTTGGATTTGATTATGCTAGATTCGGTGATTCATTGCTTAATCAATTATGAAAAACTTGGGGCTTAATTCATGTAAAAAAAAATTACATAAAATCAAATCATGGAAATTTTTCCTAAATTTGGTGGAATTAAAGTTTTTTGAATTGAATTAAGATTTGATCCCTATAAAAAGACCTTCAATTAAGATAAAAAGAGGAGATCTCAGAGCAATTCACTTTAAAATCAAACAAAGGTAATTGAAAAGACAAAAAATTTGAGCAAAGTTTTGAATTAACAAAACAAAAATAATCAAGCAAAAATATTACAAAAAGATTCGGTTAGAGTTTTTGAAAAAAAGCTAAGATTTATAATAGGAAGCATAAATTTTTCAAAAGTGAAAAGTTGGAATCCATGATCCATCGAGGTAATTGTTGTTTTGTTTTTTTTTTTTTTTTGGATATTGTTTATTTTTATTTTTATAGTTATTGCATTGTACTTATTTTTGTATGAATTTGCATGACTAATATTATATTTGTATGATTAATATTTGTTTGCATGATTACCTAATATATTTATTTGTGTGATTGCATGATTATTAATATTATTATTTGCATGATTATATATTTAATTGCATGTTTAATTGTATGATTATTAATTTATTTATTTGTGTGATTGCATGATTATTAATACATTTATTTGCATGACTATTTATTATTTATTGTTTATTATTGCATGATTAATATTACGTTTGCATGATATCTAATTGTATGTTTATTATGTGCATAATTGTGTGATTATATTTAATTGCATAATTACTAAGATATTTGTGTAATTATATTTGATTTCATGATTATATATTTGCTTGAATGGTTATTAATAAATTTGCATGGTATTTTATATTATTGCATGATATTATATATTGACATGATTATTATTATTACATTTGCATGATATTATATATTGACATGATTATTATTATTACATGATAATTAATATATTTACATAACATTCTTGCATGAATATTTTAGCATGATCTAGGCATCATATTATTACATGATATTTGGTATGATTTATAATATATTTGCATGATAATTTTTGTATGGTATGATTTTTAATATTTATTACATGATCGCTTGATATTCTTGATAGAATTTTTGTATCACCATATTGTGTAAATAAATAAAAGAACTGGAATTGATTTATTTGCATGATAAAACTATCTTTGATTAAGGCTAAGGTAAGATAACATATAATTAATTTAGTATCAATTTTGGGCGTAAAAGGGTGCTAATACATTCCCTACACATAATTGACTTATGAACTTTAGTTCTGTTAATATAAACAAGAACCTATTTTTTAGGAACCCTTAGTTTACACTTAGGACAACCTTTAAAAGGATAGATTCACATAGGTGACTAATCACACCTAGATAAAAAAAAAATTAGTGGCGACTCCATGATTTTTTGTGTCTAATGGGTAGGTTTTCAACTAAACATTATGACAGTTTGGCGACTCTATTGGATATTAGAGAGTCAAGTCATTAGTTAGTTATGTGTTATCTTAAGCCTTACTTTGATAATTTTATTATGTAATTATTTTTTATTTTCATATTACTAGCCTATTTGTTTTTGTTTTCTTGTTTGTAGATTTTAATTTTTTTATGTGCATTAATTTATTTAATTATTTGCTATGTCCTTTTATACACACACTTTTGCGTTCATGTATAAGTTATAGACCCAGGCTTTATCCTTTATTAGGAGGAAGCAAGTACCTATACTCTCATGAGGTGATAACCTTCGTGTGAACTAATGAAAACTCTTACTCAAAATCCTTTCCGTTTGAGCCTATAATGGTGAATAAGGATTAGAGTGCCTTATTAGTCTATAATAGATGATGATATAGGGAGTAATTTGGGAGCCTTTAAATTGTCAAGTCCTTAAACCCAACATATACATGAACCTTAAGGACCCAAACATAAGTTGAGCCTTACCTTCTTTTTGTTAGAAAACCTAAAAAAGACACATGATGGGATAGTTATTATTATTCTTGTAAATCTATTATTCCTTATATATATTGTTTACAAACTAACCCTTCATATTATTTATTATATATTATATTGTTCATTGTATATATTATATTGACTAACCCTTTTTTTCTTTACTTTATTATGCATGCTTGCATCATTAGATTTATCATAAGGAGTGATTGTCCAAGACAATCTTAACAAATAGAATTTTAATTACATCCATAAGAGCCTGGTAAAATCTCCTACTAGCATGAAAAGAAAATTTGAAGGATTTGAAACTTGTAAAGAAAAGGCTTAAAATGGAAGTCTAAGCACTTAAATAAAAAAGGATATTGAAAAATCAATTTGTTGACATAACACCATACAATGATCCACCATTTATGAGTTAGCCCAACTTTTGAAGGAAAATGGACAATTGCATAAAAAGATGCAAAAAAAGGAGGAAGCACTCATTGAAACACAAAAGAACATCCAAATGCTTAATGGGGCAGTGGTTAAAATTAAAACACAAATGGGTGTTGTGTATGAAAAATGTAAGCAAACAAAGGAAATATATGTGAGAAAGCATAACCAGTTGGAGTGCTTGCTTAATCAAATTACTATGGCTATTTACAAAACTAAAGACATAGTAGAAAAAGTTGAAGAATGGAAGACAAGGGAGCCACCAGTGAGAGCACATGACCAAGAACTACTAGATTTCCTTAATGAAGTGCAAGGCCAAATTGACAAATTAAGGATTATTTTTCATAATAAACTTTAGACTTTTCATGGATGTAATATTAGATTTGGTTAGAAATAAATTTTAATTCAATAAAGATTTTCTTTGTTAACAATTCTTATGTAGTAAATCCTCTTTACTGCAATTATTCATACTTAAACATCCATTTAAAGTGCATAATAATAAGTCATCGTAATGCTTAAAAATTATGTAAAATCAAGGTTCAAGGATAACTCAATCTTCAAATAATTTGAGGACTACAACACTAAATCAAGCAAGGATCATGTAAGAAGAAAATACTCTTTGCCTCCAAAAGCTAGAAAAAACATAAAAAATAAAAAATAAAAGAGCAGTTGGAAACTATTATTGAGTTGCTAAAGAACATAAATAAGGGAAAGAAAGTTGTGAAGAGATGGTGATACAAAATCAGATTGATCCATTATATCCTCCTGGTTTTACCCCATATTAAGCACATGCATCTTAAGAAGCCCAGCACCAAATGCCATTCATTGCAAACTATCTTTTTGTGCAGAATGACATGTTGACAATTGCTATTCCTACTCTCATTACCTTTGTTCTTAACATCAACACATCTGATCCTACACAAGTTTTAAATCTTGATGATCCCAAGAGCAAGAAAAGCTGAAGATTGGCCTTGTTAAAACTAAAAAAACTTTGAAACCCAAAAGATGGATATTATTGAAGAAAGGCTTATAAGTATAGAGGGGATAGATTTTTATGGGTTAATAGATACTACTGGACTTTGCCTAGTCCCTAATGTGGTGATTTTACCAAAGCTTAAAGTGTTTGAGTTCAAAAAGTATGATGGGACTAAATGCCATATTACACATGATACGATGTATTGTTGCAAGATGGTTGTATATGCTCATAATTAGAAGTTTTCATCTATATCTTCTAAG